GTGATACAAGCCCCCTGCCTTAGAGTAATCCTGACAATCTCGCACAAATGCTAATTGTTATAAATTTTGCAAGCAAGACAAAATTGCTTTATAATCTAAACTTGGGAAGGTTAGCGCATTCAAGAGGATCGGCTAACGAATAGGAGCAAATGAAGAGGTGAGTTCGAGTTGGGCAATCAGACAGGCTGGTGGCGAGTATGCCAGGTTGAGGTGCGACCGCGATGGACTGTGGAGCACTGGAAAACCCGGCGTGCGTACTTGGGCTAAGCGGGGTGACAACTTTGCGTTGTTGGTAGGTGCTAGGCGTCATGCACTGAGCAACGAGATACACACTGTGTCCCTCCAGTACACCTCATAGGGACCCGTCCTAGGCGTCAAACCCGACCACCCTGAGTGTGTGGCCATGCAGGCCGCAAACTAACAAAACTCCTTCTTCGTTCGAGCCCCTTTCCATTTTCGTTCTTGGAACCTTGACACAGGAGATCCCAGTTCCGACCTAGGACTCCACGCCACTTTTCTAAAATCCTTGGCACACCCCCTTTTCGCAACTTTCGGGCCGGCTCCCACTCCAATCAGGAAGTCGCGCTGGGCGTGAGGTTGGGTGTCACAAGGCTGTAGCAGACAAGGAAGGTTTTCATATGTAGTGTCAGGAGTGCTCTTGAATACGGAGCGCTCACCTATCCCACTTTTCCAAGCCCATTCAATATTTTGAGAGCAAAGGCTCTGCCACACCACTCAAAGAAAACATACCCCTGTTGACACTAGAATTTGAGAGCGCCTGGGTTCGAGAGTGAGTGTGGCGAAGGACGCTCTTGAATTGTTTTTCCGAACCTTCTCACACCCGAGAGCACTCTTGGATCTTTTTCAGGATTGGGAATGTTGTGGCGAGACCCTTTGTCTTACAACATCATAGGCCAGGGCTTCTCTATCCCTCACCATGAGAGCCATGACCAAATATGTGTCTGGCTGAATGGTAGAAACATTGTCATAACATAGAAAGAAACCTGTAACAACTGATCTTTACAATCCCCCTGGATTGGGTGTGCATTTTGTGCAAGGGTCCGAGACTAGTGGAAAGGGATAGGGTACCCGCTCCGGGAGACCTGAAGAGTGTAGGGAGCGTCGTAGAAGTAAGTGTGGATGAAACACTGGTTAATCTCTTCTACAAAGCAATAGAAATAATGTGCTATCTAAATACACCCCAGACGTGATGAGATGGTGGCGGAATGCTGACCTGCACAAGATCCAGGTGTTACACAATAAGGAAGATTGGATCTATGTTGCACGCTGGCCGCGGCCGGCCCGACCGAGTTTTTTTGGCTCGGTTTCGGCCGATCTGGGGGGCCGTTTTCAAAGGTGGGAGCGGGTTTGGGGTGGGGGGGCACCCCCTCAAAGTGACAGGGCGTAAAAAAAAAAAAACGGGGGGGTCCTGCACAAGACCCTGGAAGGGTGGCCCGCGAAAAATCCAGCGGCCCCAGTGTGCAGGTTCGTCAATGCAGGGTCGCAGGGAGGAGGGTCTGGAACAGTGGAAAAAAAAATTAAAAAATATTTGACCCCTGCGGGGGCGGCCCAACGTGGGTTGGATGAGGGCCTGGTTAAGGCGGGCCGTGCGCTAGACCGGGTCGAAGCTAGACGGGGCTGCAGATGGCAGACCCCAGGTTGGGCCTGGTTGGGGCGGGCCTCACGCACTGAAAGGTAGGCGTCGTTTTCATTAATGAGGGCGATGACACTTCGTGGCTTATTTGAAAACAACACATTCATGGCAAATTTGGCAATCATAAGTCGGACCCTGTTTGGCATACCAATGTCAAAACACATTGAAAATCAATCACAGTGCGGCGAACCACAAGTTTCAAACAATGATAACAGGCAAGTGTGTCATAGTGTGTGTTCACTCAGGAGACTGATGGACATTCATTAGCACATCATTTATGTAAGAACACATTCATTAGGACGTCATCTCGATGTCGCATCTGAAATTAACTGCACCTTCATAATGGAGGCATCCATGACATGCACGTACGTGGCATCGGAGAAGCACATAATTTGCAACAATCACGACAACAGAGCAGAAAACAATAACCAGACAACAACGACTCAGATGCAAGAACAATGTTGGTGGAGGAACAAGAACAATAGCAAATATATGACAAAGCATTTCAATGGAAATGCGTATGTACAAGGTTGAAGCCAAAAACTGGACCCGTAGTCTCTACTGTACAACCGAGTAGCAAAAAAAAATTGGACCCATCGTCTCTGCTACACAACAGAGTAGCAAAAAAAAATTGGACCCGTTGACGGGCGTCGTCTCTACTGTACAACCGAGAAGGGGAAAAAAAAATGAAACCCTAATGTCCACATCGTCTGTAATGAAAACCGAGTACGAAAAAAAAAAATGAAAACCCTAATGTACAACCGAGTAGGATAAAAAAATTGGACCCATCGTCTCTGCTACACAATAGAGTAGAAAAAAAAATTGGACCCGTCAACGGGCGTCGTCTCTACTGTACAACTGAGTAGCAAAAAACACCACGGACGTCGTCATCTCCCACCAGAGCGTGCGCGGCCTCTCCCCGAGGACGTGCGGCCATGCGGTCCTCCCCGGCGCCCTCCTCTCCCTCCGGCACCTGTGCCCCGTGCCCCAGCGACGTATGCCGCATGTGCCGCAGCGGCCGCCGCGGCCACCTGTGCCCTGTGTCTGCGTGCCGCAGTCTCGATCAGCTCGGACTCAGTGTCTACGTCCTCGTCCTCCTCCACCTGTGCAGCAATCCCCCTCTCTCTCTCCCTCTGAATCGCGCCCAATGCTGCCTGCCCAGCGGCGACCCCTGCAGCGAGTCGAGCCTCAACCTCCGAGAGGCCATGCTGTCGTCTCGTCCTGGGATGCATCGACAACCCTTCCTCGCCCGATGTGAACAGCTCTCCCTGCAGCCTGTCCGTGGATGTTCCTGCGGCCTCGAGGACCAATGTCCTCCACGTCTTTGCTCGTGACAAACCAAGCATGTAGCCCGCCATCTGCAGGCTCGAACGTCCGGACCCACCCTCCGCAGCCTGCGTCTAAACAGGCTTACGTCCCGTGAAGACGCCCCTCTCGGCGTCGTAATCCGCCCGCAACCGGTCCCCGACCCGACGAACAGCTGACCATCCGCCACCCACACCTCCTCGGACTGGCGGCGGGGAACCGCCACTGTGCGCAACTCCGGGTGCCACCGTCCGGTCCCCGGTGTCGACCCTGCGGGCGGTGGAGGCATCGATCCTGCACTATCTCTGCCGTAGTCGTTGCGTCTGCCGGACCCCACCTCACCCGCACCGGGCTCCCTCCCTCTAACGTCGCTGAGCGACGAACCCGACCAGTGAGGGCTCTGCACTGTGAACGACGGCGGTGAATACACCCTCCCAGGGGCCCGCTGCTTGCCACTCTTGCGGCTCACGTGTGCGAAAGGGTCATCCTTCAACGCATGCGCCAAAGCGTCAACGTCAAAAAAAGTGTGCGTTGTGTCGGCACGGCGCGACGGAGGCAATGTGGGATCCCTCAACACCAAGGTGAACCTATAAGGATCGTCCTCGGGACCGTGGTCGTCGTCATCGTCGCCGTCCGGTCCATCGTCTCCACCGACACCCGCGGTGTCCCCATCTCCACCGGGTCCACCCTCTCCTCCGCCGCACACTGCGGCACCCTGTCCCTCATCACCCGCGGTCTCGCTGTCACCATGGCCCCCACTAGGGGACCCACCGCCCATGACAACATCCTGCCCCTTAGGGACACCCGCGGTCTCCTCGTCGCCGCGTCGTCCACCACCTGACCCACCACCCGCGGCGGCATCCTGCCCCTCATAATCGAACTCCCTCTGAACCCCCTCCTCAGGGACACCCGAGTCGTCGACGTCACGGCTCCCGCCCCCTCCTGTCTCTAAGTCCCTCTACCGACGCTGCTCGTCGAGATACGTGAACCGACCCTCCCACTGTGGCAAACTCCTCAGCCGCTCCTTCTCCTCTCGGTCCAAACGGGCATCCCTCTCCTCCTCAGTCTCAGCAGGGCCCCACTCAACGTCCGCGTCTGTGCGCACATCGTGCAGTGAGGCACGTCGACGTCCCTTGACACTCAAATCTCCCAAGCTCCCACCAAGCCCTATGTCCTCGAAGTCCTGTGTGCGGAGCACCGACGGCAAGCGGGGGCGGATACCAACGTCGGAAGGAGTCCTCTCCCCCCCACGATCCTCGCCATCATGTGTCCGGTTTCTGCCCGCTGCTGACGCCAACCTCTCCGAACGCCTAAGTGCCTCGGGCTGTGCAGAGATCGGATGATGGGAGGGAGAGAAGCGACGATCGTGAAGGGGCACCTCCTCATCCTCAGCCTCCCCCTCGCCCTCGTTGTTGCTCCTAACCTCCCAACACCTGCCTGTGTGCCGAGGACCTCCCCATGGCTGCTGCTCCCCCGAGTCGTCCATGCGAACCTCCGCATGCGAACGTCCTCCAAGACCACCGCCGACTCTGTTGCTGCCACTCGCCTGCGCGGTCGACGGCACATCACTAGTGATAACCGATGTGTGTGAATCCATGCCGTCACGACCCCCACCGTAAGTGAAGTACACTTGCGAAGCCGTCGGGTCGCGACTCAGCGGCGTGTCATCATCGTCAGTCCAGTCATTGTCGATGTCGTCGCCTGCCGCAGCAGCGTCCACATCATCCCCACCCTCCGGCCATGGTCGCAGCTCCGTCGCTCTGCTGCCGAACACGTCCCGAACCGAACGAGCTCTGGACGGTCGACTGTCACGGAAAGCGACAATCTGCCGCAGGATCTCCTGCTCAAGAACACTGCCATCAGGTCACGCTCCCCACACCTCGGGCTCCACATCTCCCTCCGCATCCTCTTCCTCTGCCGCCGTCCCCCCCCGACCGGTCCCTATAACCCATGGCAACACGTAGCCACCACCCTGCCGTGCGCACGAGGCCAGTTTGAGATTGGTGGCAATCTCAACCAGCTGTGCAAGCTTGGCGAACCCAAGCTTGCAGCGCCTCGCCGTGCTGACGTGCTCGTGCTCCGCCTAGTTCCTCTCCGCTGGAGAGGCAGACGTCCACAAGTGCATGACACGGATGGCGATGGTGCGCAACTCCAGGTGGGCACGTCCATGCTCGAACCACCACGCTGCACATCACTCGGTCTCACTGTCCCCCCCGCAATCGGTCGCCTCAACATCGGAGAGGTCATGATCTCCCCAATGCCCTCGCCTCGAGTGGAACGCCCTCATCTGGTCCCTCACGGTCCTGTACAATAAGCCGACCGGATCGCCGCCGGTCTGCGCTAGGAGAAATTTGTCGCACTCCTCGACCACACGGCGGTCGTCAACGGTCGTCTCCAGCGAATGGTAATACGTGAGGGACCGTCGACGAGGGTTGAGGAGGTGGGCCGCGGCATGTGCGGGCTCTAGCATGTGGAGGTTGCGGATGGTAACCTCACGCACGCACGGCTCAATCATGTCCGTCGGCTCGTCGACCCTGCTCATCAACTGCATCAGATGCTGACTCCACTCGTAAACGACAGACATCATCATCCCACCTCTATCCATCCTGCGCAGCAGTTGGTGGACGGGCGATATGACTAGGATGGCGTAATGGACACGCTGCCAAAACTCCCCGTCCCGAATCTGCTGCTGCACCCACTGCGCCTGAGATACGTGGGCGCGATCCCATGGGATGCGTGCCCAAGCATCCCCATGCAACATGCTCTCCAACGCGTCTCGTCGGCCTTTGAGACACGACAACATCAGGAAAACCGATGCAAACCGTGTCTCAACGGGCTCGACGAGCTGAACGCGAGGGCTCACCTTCCTAAAAAGGGTGTGAGCAGCGCCGTGCGATTTAATAAATCGCACAAGCGCTCGAGCGCAGATGATGGTCTCCTTGACCCACACCACTCGCGTCCCGATATCTGACAACATCAAGTTGCAGACATGGGTGGAGCAGGGGAGCCAAGTGATCCTCCTGATCTCAGACTCAGGGTCTGTGGCGAACCTGCGCGCTGCCGCCATATAGTTACTGGCGGAGTCTGTGCAGAAGCCGATCACGTCCTTTGCAGGAAAGGACAAGATGATGGTCCGCCACCTACGGTACACGACGTCCGCTGTGTCTCATACCAACCCGTCACGTGCGACGGCGGCGTACAGCAGGGCACCGTTGGCGCCCCCGGCCCCCGGCGAGGAAGTTCACGAGTGGCTTGCCGCTGCGCGACTTCCTCCCGTCAGAAAGGATAGTGGCACCGCTGTGCCGGAAAGTGGCGCGCACCTCGCTCACCATCGTCGCCACCTTCGCCCTCTGCGAAGGGATACCGGCGCCCGTTGTGACCCTGTAGGACGGAAACCGGAACTGGATAGAGCGAGGCACTCTCTCTGCTGCCTGCCGCACCCTCTGGAACTCTGGACCACGGAAGGCGTTGAATGGCAACTTCTTCACGTAGATCTACTGAAGCCACGTGTCTGTGAACTCGGCCAACTTCTCCCTGGCATACATCTTGTCAATCGTGGTCTGCTGAGCCCTCTTCTCCCTGCCCGTGTCTGGCACCTCGACGCCAGCATGCCCCACTGTCCTCTTCTCCCTCCTCGCACGCTCCACCTCACCTCGCGGAGCCCTAGTAGCAGGACCCGCTCCACCGACGCCTCTCGACGTCATCACCACCTCCTCCCCTGGCCGGTTAGATTCTCCAACAGCCTCGTCTGCCTCGTCTGCCTCGTCTGCAACCGCCCCCTCCCTGACCCCACCCGCGCGGTGTCGCACTTTTTCCACTCGGGCCACTTCGGGCAACCGGAAAGCCAACAGGCTGTCACGCAGGATTTTCTATATGATTGCAATAAATAAAATAAATTAAATAATGCAAATCCCTTCCTGTTGTGTGCGTCCGGCTTCGAGCGAGACCCTTCAATTGCGGTCTTCGCCGGTCCCCCGTCTTAGGAATCTATTATTTTGATTCGGAACAGCAAAGAATTATGCAAATAATAATCATAAAAATTATGGAGTGCTATGCATGCATCAATTATGTCAATCTGATTTTGAGAACTGTGACAAAACATCCACGGAGACAATCATCAAGCAAGAATAATGTAGAAAGTAAGACGGACTGACTCGAGCAAAAACATGGACAATTGAATGAGGGAAGAATGAGGACTCATAATAATCTCAGAAAGTACATGTAAACAGGCATGGTCAACACCTCTCAAGAGTCCTCACTCATCCCTCAGGTCAGTCTCTCTCAATCTCTTTTCATTGATCTTCTCTGGTGTCGAGACCCATGCCCACGTACAATCTGAGACTGCGGCTTCCTGACAAAATGCCACCTGTAGCCAGCAAGCTCTGAGCACTACCATCCGAGGCACATAACACGGTAGTTAACCATGGAGCAAAACTCCTCCCACAATGTAGGCAGCCCGTCCACTTAAAAGACCCCTCGTCTGAGGTAGGGATACTCAGTGGGCTCAGTCAACACCTCAATGTCAATCACCATTGGAGAGATGTACCTCTTTGCCAAACCGATCACATCCAACCAACTCGTGCCATCGGTGAGAAGAAAAGGGATTGGAGGCTTAGGATAGTCAGTATAAAGCATCGGCCCGAAACTGCGGATCAACGTAGTGCCACTCTCATCGAGCTCCCTCTCTCTCTGGTCAAGGTATTCAGTGGCTGAGATCGAGACTGGATCAAAAAATTCATGAGTCTTCTTGCCCCTCTTCAGGTAAGGCCTCAGATCGTGGACAGTGCCATCAACAAAACTGGTGTGGACAATGAAGATTGACAGATCTCCTTGTCTGAAACCAATGGCACTAGCATACTAATAACGGAATGCCTCCTTGCATGAAATCTGATTGAGATTAACCAGCACTGACTCGAAGACTCGAAAGGACTCGACTGTACTCATGGGTAAATTAGTCGGTGCAGATTGACTAGATGATCATTGATAACTGTTCAATGGGAACTGATGGCTGATAACTGATTGCCGATTAATTGATTGCTGATAACTGATTGTTGATGACTGATTGCTGATGACTCATTGCCGATGACTGATTGCTGATGACTAATTGCTGATAACTGATTGCTGCTTCTTAATGCTGGTTAGGAGACTGAATGATTGCAGACCAGAAAACTTAGTAGTTGCTGATCAGAAAAATGTGATTGCTGCTCTGGAAATTGATTGCTTGCTGCTCCGAAAACTGATTGCTTGCTATTCCGGAGACTGATTGCTTGCTAATGAATGACCGTTGCCGTTTGAATTGGTTGTTTGCTGATTAGACACAGATTGAATGGTGACTGAATCCACAGTTAAATGTCGTTCTGAGCACCGTCCTAAGCACTGTTCTGAATGCAGTCCCAAGTACTGTCCTGAGAACCGCTCTGAGTACAGTTCCAAGTACAGTTTTGAGTACGGTCCCGAGTACAGTTCCGAATGCAGTTCAGAGTACAGTTCTGGTTACTGAACACTGCTCTTGACATCCACCGAATGTCATTCGATACACGGGACGCAGTCTGATACACTGAATTGTGAATTCTCGTGTCTTTGTACCGCAAGAGGAGCTGTATACAGCTGCGGTCTAGATGCTGGTAGAGCTCTGGAAATGGTAGTTTGTACGCTACTGGCTCATGCAAGTTTTGCCCTGGCCTGTTCCACACTTTCCAGCGAAGAGCCGATGCTGTGTATTTTACCGTCGAGTCCGTAAAAGTAAACTACATACTCGATGTACTTCTTCTGGCCGACCATTTTGACCACAAACTCCCTCTGAGTTAGTCTGTGAAACTCCATATTCTGACATGCGCTGTCCTCCCAATTTCTGTGTTTTTCCAGGACAGTTGTGTTTTTCACTACGAAGATCTCTTCTTTCATGGCTCCTCTCACGTTCAGGCCACAGAGCAAGCTCTACGACCAGAAACTGATAGCTATCTTCAAACCTGGAGTAGCTGTCACGATTCACGGTGTTCAACAATTACTGCTAATTCCTCGGGAGCGTTATATACCACCATCCCTCAGAAGGGTTGGAGCATGGATCGGTTGGCTAAATGACAGTGCAACTGTTTGTAGTTCCGTTGAGAGTTTTGCATTCTTTCACCGACCAGAGGCGACTGAGTTTCTTTCTTTCAAAAGTGGGCACTAATGAATGTTCGCCCCACAAGATTGGAGATAACGTTGGTCATGACCTTTTCACGAAAACTGTTCGAATCCAGGTAATGGCGTATAAACTTTCCATCCAGCTAGTGGCCGTAGATGATCCACTTAACAAACTCAAATAAAATTTATCGCCCCTTTTGCATAAAGCATGTCATAGATAGTCAGACATGATATGTATGCAGCAAAGAGCAACGCCTGTTACTCAAGATGGTGCAGTTCTGAGTATCACACGTAGCTCAGGGGGTGGGTCAAAGCTCCTGATCTGCTGTAACTTACACATCGTATGGCATTGCCCAGACTAACGTTTCTGACTGTATATCGACTGAGAACGTAAGATTATTGCCCTCAGCTCATGTGAAAGTACCAATGATTCCCTCAGGGTTCTCCTTCTATCTGATGTGATGTGGGGCATAGGTGTTTTAGTATCCTTCTAAGGCGAAACGCCGGACTCAATTAATTATCACGCTCGAATTTACGCCTAAACTATTTAGGTTGCGTATTTTCTCAGATAGTAAACTGAGTTCCTGTTGGAGCGGAAACCACTAGGAGGGCAACGAGTGGACCCTGGCACAGGTCTGGATAGGATGTCCTCAACCGTTACGCTGCATTCAAACGTGGCTCTAGACCGAATACATATTATGAACAGTGCCCCTCTTCCACAGTAGTAAGGTGAATAAGGGTCCGATTAAACCTCTGATGTTTAATGCCGCTTGAGTGCTGCAACCTCCCGCTGCTAAGAGGCTTATGGGTACTTGCAGTTCGTCAGACCACACTCACATGTCGGAAGAAGCTATCAACAGGGCTCAAACAGGTCTTTCCAAGCGACTAGTACTCAGAGATGCCCACTTTTGCCAGTAGATTGGTTCGTGCATACATTATAGGATAACTCATAGTCATCAGACAAACTCAACACTGATATCCCGCAAGATCGCTGCTCATCGTGCTATGAGTTAGAGACTGCACGGATCACGATTCTCGCGTAGCCCTTGAGCAAACAGGCGGCCCGGATCTTACAAGTCCGAGGTCCAGGACATGTTGAGTGCAATGTCGACTGAGTAGTGTAAATGAGCTTCGATTCGTCAGTCCCAACGTGAAGGTTATCCAGTGGCTGGACGGTCAGGAGCTGTTCCAATCGGAGAACTGATCACCTCACGACTGAACAGTCGGACATGATCCCAGACACAGAGTCTAAATTGCCTTAACTGATCGCCTGGCTGGGATTATGACCTTAACTCATGGTGCCTTTGACCAGCAAGTTAAGTAAGTAGTGACAGTCTACTGTCGTGAGCATGACTGATTGCAGAGGTGTCACAATCATGACTGATTGCAGAGGTGCCACTTGCGAGTAACTTTGTCTGAGGGAAAGGGAAAGAAAAACCCAACGGTTCATTAACACAGCTTCAGCCAGACACATAATAAGAAGTTTGATTTCCACTAAATTGCCAAAACGCTGCTCACTCAAAATCATCCGGAGACGTCACATCACACATGTCACTTCCGTACACCTCTTTAATTTGCGAGGAAACGCATTTTCAACCGTTTTACTGTTCTTCCTTTGCTCATGTGAACTGAAACAGGAACACTGCCTAATCGACGAACAGACCCCAAGATAACTGAGTAACTAATCTCCGTCAAGCAAATACTTGACCAGCAGATAAGCAACTCTCTTTAGCATCACCCCCCCTTTTCTCATCGAACAACGGC